CTCTCAGGTACACTTTTAGATCGGCCCACCTGAGTTCTTCATCTTGTGCCTTCGCGATTCGTCGTCTCCGCTCAGTCTGTACTGTCACTGGATCAATGTCGTTGGTATTCTGAGCTGTCTGGGCTGACTCCATTTGCGACCCTGTTTTGACACTCGGGGTCGTGTGGTGAGTCCGCCGAGTCGACGCCCTGCTGACTTGTTCGAATTCATCTCCACTGCTTTCAAACGCGGATTCTCCAAGATTTGTTGATATGGTCCTTCGGCTCAATCTTCTTAATGAACTTGGCAGGGTTACCAGCATACACGGAGAACGCGTAAAAATTAACTTAAATTCCAGATTCGCACACCAAAACTGCGTCACCACAAATAAAGCGTGCGACCACATCACACTATGGAGACTACACATATAGAATGGATTGCCTGTGCACGCCGCTTTTTTCTGATTCCTCGCACAGACAGGGGTTGGGATGGTGTTTACAGCCAACCATCGCCGCACTTCAGAATCGAGAAAGGAGATCACCCAGCAAAGACTCGGCCGGCCGACGCGACTTGCAATGCCGAAGCGTATCGCCTGGCAGGACGTGGCGCTCAACGCTACCGGTATCGAAGCTGACAGAGTGCTGACTGCCTTTAAGACCTACGAGGTCTCGAAGAGCAATTTGTACGCATGTACGGTTTGCCTCGACGATGCCCCACACAAGATGAGGTACAGGATGCTTCAGTGCTCGTCAACAGCGTGCAAGGCGGCCGTTTCCTCGGGTGTACACGCTTGTTCTTGGCTCGGCAAAACCCTCTCTTGCCAGGTTAGCGACGCAGTGTCAATATTCGAGGTGGGGGAGCACGCCACAGCGGTAAACTCCCCCAAGAAGAAGAAACTGACGGAGCTGCAGAAGATCTACTGCCGTGAGCTCACGGCACAGCATCTGCGGCCTGTCCGTATACGCAATGCGATGGCACGGAAGTTTGGAGCGGTGCTTCAGGACTTGCCAAGCTTGGGCACCGTCCAGAACTTCGTCAACTACTACTCCAGGAAGAACTTGTCGCGGAATGACATAGTGGACGATTTGAGGACCTACGCGAGGGCGTACACCGGACGAGAGGCCATGTCCCAGACCTTCACATTCGCCTGGAATATGGATGAGCAAGGCAAGCCAGTGGTCGGAAACGCATCGGAAGAACGGCCGTTCGTTATTGGTTTAACGACCAAGACCCTAATGCTTCGGCTAATGCGGCCGCCGGACAACTACATACTTCATGTGGACGCGACGTACAAGTTAAACTATCGCGGATATCCGGTACTAGTGGTCGGCATCTCCGATAGGTCGCGTAGGTTTCATCTGGTGGCGCTGTACATTGTATCAGGTGAAACACAAGAAATTATACAACCGATGCTCATGGCGCTAAGGCGTCTGTACTGCTGGCTCACCGGTCGCGATCTAGTTGTTCGCTACGCGATGGCCGACGCAGACAAGGCCCAGTATAACGCTTTAAACGTCGTTTTTGGAGACAACCCTCAGTTCCAGAGCCTCATGTGCTTCTCTCACGTGATGGAGAAGGTCTACAAGGCGATCAAGCAGTTTCCCTCGTTTGTATCGTCTAATATTACCCACGACCTGTACGACCTACACTTCACCAGAACACATCTAGACTTTACGAGAATGCGGGACGCTCTGCTAAGGAAGTGGATGAACGTCCCAATGTTGGTGAACTTCGCTCAATATATGAGTGGCCAATGGTTGAGTGGCCACTTCAGTGGCTGGCAGTTATACTCAACACTCAGTGGCTTTGCATCAACCAACAACCCGGTCGAAACTTTCAACGCTATCCTGAAACGAGACTACACTTTACGTCGGCGTCTAAAAATGGTGCGCTATTAGCGGAGCTGGCCAATTGTTGCGAGGACCAGTCGGCCAACGAGCGCCCATTTCAAATGGAGGTGCTCCCGTCGGAAACCCTCACACGTCGCGTGCGGGAATTAGTCCGAGAGAATCTATTAGGTCTGGGTGGGGAACAACCTGGCGCTTTGGAGCCTCCTGGGTGCATTCGAGTCGCCTCCAGGCTCGCGAAACGGATTGCGGTTGCCCCTAACAACCGGTCAGAGCACGGCATCGCTGTCTCGGCTCAAATGGGACTTAACTACGCTAGAATGGAGGTGGAAGGGCAGCCCGAAGGAGGCTGGAATGTAGATTTGAATCGTCGGTGGTGTGACTGCAACTACTGCTACGCATTTGGGGTCTGCGTACACGTACTCTATGCTGTACGAACACAAGATTACATTGACGCAAGCGGACGTGAAATCCTAATCTCTCGCAACATGCAGAAGAGCAGTGGCGCAGCGGCCTCCAAGAACTCAGGGCAGCGAGGAGGACGACCAACGACGGTTGGGCCCGCACTTACGTTCTGAGGTCTAACACCTCTACAAATGGAGCTGGTTCCTGTCTTTGGTTAGATTTCCGTATCCACACGGTAGATGAACACTGTGTATATGAGGAATCATGCATAATAAAAGTTAGTCGTTTCTCGATTTGACATTACAAAAAAATATTGGATATCTTTTTAAGAAACCTCTTTCTAAAAGATTCCTCACATAGAGTTGTTGCGTACAAAGCTGTCATTAAGGATGGTCTTTCATTTTTCATTGTAACTCTTCATTGTGAAGTCCTGGAATGTTTTGGATTATTTAGGCTATCTAAAATACCACAAATTAGCTTGAGCCTTCCTCATTCCAGCAAAAATCGCAAGCACACTTGAACCAGATTTCGTCTCCATAGTGGACGACGAGCTGCGCGCCCGCAGCGACACTCTCGATCATCCGAGCGACCACCTTCACGCTGGACCTGTTTTTCATCTCGAAAAACTTGACGTTTGAAGTACATGCGTGCTGGAAGAACCGAGCGATAGATCCACACTTTAGTGCCTCCACGTAGACAAATCTGCCTCGCTTGCTTTTCTCGTTCAGGAGCATTGTGTAGCCACTGTTTTGTTTTTTTTGCCTTTTCTGGTTGGCCCTCGTACAGAGCTTCGTACTCACAAAGCGCTCCGCTGTATTCGGCGATATTCTCGCCAGCAAATAACGCCTGCGTCGTGTACACACCCAGCCCCAACCGGTGAGTATTGTACAGCTTGAGGCCGGGGTGCGTACACGGCGCGTTACTGCACTTTGCGTCCAGTCGACAGCAGTCGGGGGTGCAGTAGATAGCCATCTTAGCATTGTTACAGGTGTCGGCGAAGCAGTCCCCGTGGCACACGCAAGCGTCTCCATCACCAATGTCATCGTAAGCCCCACAGGTACAATAGACTCGGTGATAGGCTCCACCCAGTCTGACCACGCTACCTCCTCCATTACGTACGTCTCGTACACATTTATTTGGGTGACGTTACTTGGAGGAGGGGGTTTGGGCTCCACAAACACCGGCCTGTAGCTTCGTACGGCGTTCAGCTTCGCTCTCATGCTCGGCATCCGCAACAGTTCCTTCATTTTCTTGGCTTTGACGGAGTGGGCGTGATAGATGCTTGTTCCGCTACGTGTTACAGCACATTTCTTTTGGTGTCTTTTCTTGCGTGATCTCGGCACGTGCCAAGTGCTAGCATGCTTCTTTGCCTGGTGTCGTATCTTCGACCGTTCCAAGCGCGTGGGAACGGTATTTAAATACTCAGCCACAGCAGACACGTCCAGTAGCCCAGCACCTTCCGACAAGAGAGCGTTGGGTGGTGGAGCAGTACAAAGTGCTGGAGTATCCGACTCGGATCGACCCTCGGGTTCTTCTTCTTCGCAGCGAGGATACACGATGTCTGGACCAGAACTTAATTAAAAAACCTCCTTGGCGCATGTGCTGGGACGATTGCCAAAGTCCTCACTTCCTGAGGCTTGACCAACGGTGGCTGAATCCGTGGGTTGCTGAGCGTGGGCCACCGTACGATTAAGGTGGGTGCTGGACCTCTTATTATCGTCCATAAACTGCAAGCTTGCTAAATTCATTGCTGAGGCCATTGAAATAGGCGCTACGTCTCTTCCCTCATACTCTTCCCCATCGTTGGCGCCGTTAAGAGCCACTACGTCTCTTGTAATCTCAACATCTGAAGAAATGGAGGTGTGGGGCGGGCTCGCACGTTTTGCAATGCCTAAGGCATTCAATGAGCAGGGTGTAGCATCGATCTGGTCACGTATAGCGCGGCCAATGTTCCTTTGACCAGCAAAGACTGCGTTGATGATGCCGTTCATCTTATCGCACAATAATGAGCGGTCGGAT